CGATATTAAATACATAATCGATGATAACGATTGTTTTTTATTCATGTCTATAAATACTCTTTCAATAAATATTTTACGATTTTTACAATTCTGAACCTTGATTCTGTAGTTTTTTTTAAAAATTTATATTTTCAATGTCATCAAAAACTCTTAGAGTAGCTTTCGTACATCCCGATCTTGGTTTCGGTAAGTCTTTATAAACTGTATAAACCGTATAAATTGTATAAATTGTATAACTGTTAATGTTGACAGATGGTTATGCTTATATATGCGCATTTTTTATTCAAAGGTGGAGCAGAACGTCTCGTGGTTGATGCTGCTACCGGTTTAAAAGCCAAAGGCCATAATGTAGTTATTTATACTTCTCATCACGATCGTGAACATTGTTTTGTAGAAACTAAAGACGGTTCGTGTCAGCACACTTATGTATATGACTGTTGTCATACATATAGCTTCCTTTTTGAAATTTTCTTTTTCTTTTTTAGGCTCGCTTGAGATCAGAGTACGTGGAAATAGCATTATCCCACGTACCTTTTTTGGATCTTTTTACATTATATGCGCAATTTTGCGACAATTACACCTTACCGTTTCTTTGATCTTGAGAGATAAAGATCAATTCGATGTTATATTCATTGATCAATTATCCGCTAGCATTCCATTTTTAAGATTTACCGGTGCAAAAGTAATTTATATTCTCATGCATAGATCACATATCACACTTTTTTATATACCTTTTTTAGTTTATATTAATGATTTTTTTCGAAAATCATGAAAAATAGATTTTATTTTATTGTCATTTTCCGGACAAATTATTAACAAAACGCGAATCAATTTTGAAAAAAATTTATCGATATCCTATTGATTTATTAGAAGAAATGACAACTGGTTGGTATCATTTTTAAAAAAGATTTTAATCGATCCATCAATATTAATTTAAATAATAATAATGATACGTAATAGGCATGGCAAATTGCATCGTTGTGAATAGCATTTTCACATCTAACGTGTTTCGTGAATCTTTTCCCAACATAAGAAAGGTACCTCAAGTTCTCTACCCTGGAATACATTTTGAGGCATATGATAAAAAAGTGGACATTGATGATATATGTATTAAGATTTTAGAAAGGTAATTCCATAATTTCATAAATTTATATTATATATTTAAATTATTGAACTATTGAACTATTAAATTATTATAATTATACGTATTTTAGCTCGAAAGTGACAATTTTATCAATTAATCGCTTTGAACGAAAAAAAAATATTGTGCTTGCTATACGTGCTTTTGCAAGATTACGAGATGATGATATGGTATCAGAGAA